GACAGTTGACGCCGTCGGCCTCGATGGCGTAGGCACTGGCCGTGGAAACGGCCGTGGCGAGAGAAAGAGCTAATGCTACAAACTTCATGATTGGGGGGTGAAAAGAGCGAGTTGGACTGTTGACTCGTGATCAGAGGTGTCTGGTGGGCTTTGTTTTTTGTATAGTAGGTGTTCTTTGGAGGTGGAATTGCGGTTGATGGTTTGAATTCTGGCCAAGACCACGGCTTCGAGCTTTCTTTATACTTTTTCTCGCTGTGCCAAAATACCAAAGTGACGATCGTCATGAGCCTGCTTACCCAAGTTGGCCGTGCATGTTTCTCAGCTCGCCACCAACCCCTGCATGTATCCCAAAAATAGCAACCTCCCTTATCAAATCTTGCAGACAACCCCTGCTTGAGATCCAGCCTAACGGTAAGACGGGGTAATTCTTGGCACGCTGACCTGGTGACGGCAGCGCCTGGTTGGGCAGATTGACACAATCGCCAGTGTGCAAGGCGGAACGTGACGGCGTTGGCTAGTCATTTTCTTGAAAGACGGACGTCTGGCTACGGATAAACGGCAGTATTTCATTAGTCTGGTATATAATTAGAATTTTCTGGGCAGAATTTCCAGGTTAAAGCAGGCATAACTGGCGTTATGCTGCCGTTTTCGGCTTCGGCGCGGAATACGTTGAGTGGGTTGTAGTATGCGACAAATTAGATGATATATTCAGCCATCACATCCATGTCAATCATATCCCGTCATGGTTCGGCGTAATGGAACATTATGTCAACAGAAACTATCATTGTCGATATATGAAGCTTGTACTATCAACCCTGAACAAACGGTCTAGAGACACTACTCCGTAGCCATGAATCCGACGCTGTCTACCATCTCTCGCAGTGTTGTCTATGGTCTATAGTCTATTATCTATCCGGCAACAAATAAAACAAAACAAAAAAAAAAAAAGGAATAAAGCAAGAAACTCTCTCATTCCAGCCCTGTGGCTGTATTCGTTCCATGTAGACGTCGACGCCCATGTACCGTAGCTGTCAAGACAAGCTTTACTGGGGGCACTGATCGACAGTGTCGGCGCAAGTATAGAGCTTGTTGGGGCAGCACACCTTGCCAACAGGGCAGAAGAAGGAATCACCGCACTTGGGGCCGGTGGTGGCGGCGGGAGAGGCGGCGGTTGTCGTGGTCATGGTGGTCATGGTGGTGGCCGGGTTGAGAGGAGGGCATTGAGGGCCGTCGTAGCACCCTCGCTCTTCGACGCCATTGTAGATGACGGCGCAGCAGAGCTGGTTGGGCTTGCAAAAGATGGAGTCGCCGCACTCGACGCCCTGGGTTTGCCTCTGCTGAAGCTGCTGCGACGGCGGCGGGTTGGGGCAGACGGCAAAGCAGCCGAGCTCTTCGACGCCATTCACATTGACGGCGCAGCAGTTGGGCTTGTCGCTTGGGCAAACCTGGTCGCCGCACTTGTTGGGGTATGACTGAGGGATTGCGCTGACCGCCGTGGTGAAGGCAAAAGCGGCGACGGTGATCTGCAAGATTCTGGAAGCCATGTTGTGATGTTGTTTTGGTGTTTGTTGTTTGGTGTTTGGCTGGGCAAGAGTGCTTGATTCAATGTTGATTCAGCAATGTAGTTGTCAAATGTAGTTCTCAAAGAGAGGAGAGGAGTGGTGCTGGAGTGTTTGTGTTGACTGTGGATTGTGTTGAAGTCTTCTAGTTTAGCAGCGAGGTGTAGCGATATTTATAATGGAATCATGCTGTATGCTTGTTGTTTCTTGACTTCTTATCCCAGAGCAGAGAGGCTCTTGAATTGTTCGCCTTCACCGATACCGCATCATGAACAAGTTGTGATGTTGCTGGCTGCTGGCGATGGCCTCGCTGTTCCCGAAAGGCTGAGCTGTGTGCTTCGTACAGAGGTTTCTCCGCGGCGATGCTGCAGATGCTGCTCGGGCTTGCTGCTACCGAACAGACATGATAGTCTTGATGGATCAAGAGGCTGAACTGTCACGCCATCCGACATGGTGATAGGCAGCCACGGCTATGGGCTGGACATGTGTACGCCACCAACGCGGTAATTGCAGGAAAATGGAGCTGCTTTGTTTTCAGGCGTCAATATGCAATAGCTGATACAAGGTACGCAGGAAACAAGAGCTCATAGCTGTCTATGGTCTTGCGTCATGGCTTTGATCCGAAACCATTCACATATTAATACACTGCGTCCTGGGCGTAGCATTGATACGCACGCATTCACAATGTAAATTTGCTTAGTTTACGTTCATATTGCAAAACGTTTGGCCTAGTGTGGTAACTGCCATGTTGCACTGGAATAACTGGCTTGTTCAACAGACTCAACAGACCGACTACACATCAGTCTGTTGCTTTCAATGATTATACTGCCACCAGCTATCCCGAAAAAGTAGTTGATTAATGTGAATGGACTTCCCAGACTGCCATTGAAAAGGGGGACGAGTTGTCTGGCCGCCTTGGCGCCACCACGAGCAGTCTTTGTGGCCTCGAGGTTGTTGCCACCGCACAACCAAATGGTGTAGCACACACCCACCTAGGTAGGTATCGGCTCTACCGTCAATACTTTCCATGGGGCCCCAGATTTTCTAGCCAATACCGGCAACTCAAGTACATATAATGACGTATGAGTCGGATGCAATATGTCCGTGTCAAGTCTCCTAGGGCTGAAAGACGGCGCCATGGGCTTTACATGTAAGAGGCACAAGTGATATACTGTCCCCATTAATGCAGGCCGTGGCAGTTTGCCTGGCCGACTATTCGGCAAGTAGTGTCACGAGTCGGTGTCAACTCACCCGCAGGTTGGCAGCCCATTCGGTTGGCGACATGACATTTCCGTCAACGCTACTCTGTACGGAGTATGCTGGCCTTAATCCCCAGTTCACTATCGTGTCCCCTCGGCTCTCGGCCATGTGGGTGTTTTAATTTCTCCTGATGATCCCTGCGGTGGCGGCCGTTCCTGCGCTTGAGCTATCTTTGGAGATCAAGTTAAACTTTATGCCCTGCGATATTCGGAGCCCTAGCAAATCGAAATCTAGCACCGAATATTGTAGGACTAGCACTAAATAAGCAGCGAGAAAACTTCAATGCACTTAATGGAACATCATAGAGATACGACATCCCGGCGCGAAAGTGGTTGGCATAATAGCATTCTTCCAGGGCAATACAGAGTCATTGTTCAGGATGAGCACAACCCAGGAAGGCAAGCAACGGGCTAAATCACCTCATTTGGCCATAGGTAAGAGGATTCAGAAGCTTTCCAAAAACATATAACTCTCTTGAATGGTTTTGCCAGGGTCAGGAGATTGCCGAGCATGCAGGGACGTTGATGTCATGGAACGCCACGGGCGCTATTGGGCTGATGAAGCCATCGGTGCATATTCGTCCGAGCCAGCCATTTCCTCAGAAAGAGCTTCCACTGACAGCTTCGGGAAAGCCGCCCAGAAGATGGCGGAGTAGAGATGGGAAAACACGCGCCATCACCGAGTTAATAATGCTAGCGCTGCAAGTCTCAAAAGTCTCAACATCTTGGTATATATAAGCCCTGGCCCCTGGACCTCATGTTGAAACAAAAACAAAATTCCAACACAACAGTCTTCAATCTCTTTGACTTTTATCACTCCGATAATCAGTCACACCGGATCCAGTTTATCCAACCACCATTACCACCGTCCACACCTCCACAGCAGCCATAGGCATCCTACTTGTCTGAAGACAACAACAGACTTACGATTACAAAATGGCTCAATTCACCATCAAGTCCGCCATCATCGCCATGGGCATGGCCCTCACCGCTACAGCCGTTCCCCAGTGCTCTACCGACGCCGACTGCCTCTCTGGCTACATCTGCGGCCCCAGCGACTATTCTGGCTCGGGCAACACCGACAATGTCTGTGTCCAGCTTCAGTCTTGCATGAACACGCCCGATCCCCAGTTTCCTCAAAACGGACCCAAGTGCGGAGCCAGCACCTTCTGCAACGTTGGTGGCTTCTGCGGCGGCGGCTACTACGACGTGAATGGCAATCGAGTCGGGACAGAAGTCTGCGTCAACCAGGCCACGGGCGTCAGGTGTGCTGCACCTTCGACTTGAAATATTGTCAAGATTTTCTCCTGGCTCGAAGCCCGAAACTATCAGGGTCATGTGGTACACTATTAATGAGAGCGATGATATTTGGCGTGGCGGCTAGACATGCCGAATTTTTTTACTGGAATAGACGAGGAGCATCGGGGTTCGGTCCAAATGGATAAGAAGGCTTTTCTAATGTTTTATGACTTGTATTTGTGTTGTAGATTTGTTTTGGGATTACAATATATCATCTCTTGACACTCTTTGTGCTTCAAAAGTTGTCCATGGTTATAATAATGACCACTGCTCTTTCGATTAACTTACCCATTCCAGCTTGAAATGGTGCATGTTTGCTAGAAATGCGTTGCTTCGTTGCTACTAGACTCGGCAAACAGTTGTTTTCGTTCAGAACACATACTGGACAGGTAAATACCGCCTTACGGCTTGTCTCATGAAGCGGAATAGCTCAGCGACTCTGGCAACGGAATATATGGGTGTATAATTGCTTCGCAAATAGAGCATGTTTCTTTTGTCACAGGCTCGCCTGCAGATTGATTTTAGTAAAGCGAGTTTAAATCATTTCGGAATATCTTGGTCGAGAGGCCGGGGTTGTTTTACTAGCCACACTACTTGTTAGGCTGTCCTTTGCAAACCGCCGTGCTATACTGCACGAGGACCATTCTCGAATAGCAGCATCACGAGGTAGCTTGGGTAAGCTCATCGAAGTTATTACCCCTGAGAATTCCCCGCTACTCTTCATTAATTTCGAATTATAGCTGAGCCGCAACGCAGGAAAACATTGACATATAGATTATATATATACCCACTATCGTTCTAAGGAATGTGACAAACTTCCCACAAGAACCATGTTTGCCCCTTTATTTATTTGCAAACTTCGAGAAGAATATTAAAGCTCAGGTCACATGGCAGTTTTAAACTCGTCAACAATGGAGATGAGCCCATTGACCATGGCCTCAGCCGCCTCTAAGCTCATTATGTGTGTATTGCTATTCAGCTCCAAGCATAGCTTATCGCCTCGAGTTTCCGATACCATGTGTATTGACATGGGCACAAGATGAGGGTTTTGAAAAAACTGCACCTGCGATACGCCGGCGGCAGATTGAATCTGCGGATTCTCATCAATATTCTGGTGTTGAATGGTGGACTCAAACGTTGAACCTGGCGGCCAGTCTGTGCAGTTCTCAATGATCTCCTTGTAGCCAAGGGAATCAGCTTCCCCCACCGCAAGAAACTGTTCCTGAATGGCGAACAGTAGTTCAGTTAGGGTCTGAGTCGACGGGAATGTGACCCGTACGGGAATATAGTTGAGGCAGCACCCTACTGTCTTGTCGATGCCGCCCATTTCTGAGTTTCGTCCTGTTACCAAATGCCCGTAGACGACATCGCCTTTCCCAGTCAGCCGTGATAGAAGAAGTGCCCAAGCGGCGCTGGCTAGAGTCGCCGGAGTCATGTTGCCCGGAAGGCGAGGAAGACTTGTCTCTGCGCGAATATAAATTGCCTCTGGCTGCGGCTTATGAATATCTGTCTGGGCGAGGAGATGTTTGCGCAGGGCACCGGGATGCTGCGACCCCTGCAGAAGCCTTTTCCAGTATTCAATAGACTTGCACCGTGTGAGAGAGGCGTGCGACAGGAACGAAGAGAAGCTCGGGGGAGGAGGAGCTGTTCCAGGCCCATTCATGAAAGACCCGATAATGGTGGGCAGGCAAACACCGTCGTACTGGGCGTGAGAAATGCGAATTATCAGCCTCTCACCTTGCGTCTTGTGTCTGAGGAGTACCAGAGAAACTGGCGGTTGAGTTGCAGAGACCTTGTGAGCATCACTGACACAAAAGTTGTCGAGGGCTACGTCAAGATTCTCGCTGACATCATGTACACGGAAGGGATGCTGGATGTTTTGGAGCACGACCTGCCAGAATTTCCCCTGCAGCCGCAAAAAACATGCTCGTAGAATGGGAAATTCGCCGAGGGTTCGTGTACAGGCTCTCTCCAACAGAGCGACGTCAGTGTTCTCGGGCAGATCTATATAGACGTAGTTTGCAAAGCGTCCACATAAAGTGTCACCAACGGTGTTGTCCTGGTTGATGCACATAACGGGATAAATACCCTCGACAAAACATCTTTCTTGGACGCTGGTGGCGGGTAGTATATCAGCAATGTCTTCGCGGCGGATGTCTGGGCAAAGCGAGACAATTTCCCTTGAAAGGGTTTCTTTGGTAGGAGAATCAATGAGCACAACCTCATCAAGCTTGAGGCCAGATTCCACCCCGTTTACATGCTGCCCGTCGACCAACTCGGCCAAAGTTTTGCGGTGGAAAACATCTGCTACCGTAATGTTGATGTGAAGCTTTCGGGCCTCACTGACAAGTCTCATAGACGAGATCGAGTCGCCACCCAGATGAAAGAAGTTATCGTCCAAGCCAATCAAATCGATGCTAACATTGAGAACCTTGGCCCAGATATTTTGCATAACCCGTTCTGCTTCAGAAGTCGGTTGTCGGCTTGTCCTTTGTCCGGAAGATCGCACAGTCTCCAACTGCTCAATGCTGAATTGAGCCGCCATCTCCCGTAATCGCTTCCTATCAATGTTTCCTGTCATTGTCTTTGGTAGCTCTGAGACGGAGAACAACACAGATGGCATCATGTAAGCAAGTAATTGCTCAGCCAATCTGCCTTCTACATCAGCCGGGATGGGAAGTAACTTGATAGGAGATCCTGGCTTATTGCCATTGATTATATCATCCTTCAGCTGAACAAACATGGCAAGCAAATAGTTTGAAGGCAGGTCTTCCCCTTGAGGTTTGATAACCTCGGCCACAACTTGCCCAACATCTGACATGTGGTTTTGGGCCCAGTATTCGACCTCCTCCAGCTCAATGGTTCGCCCGTGGATCGTTGCTTGAGTGTCTTCATTGCGACCCATAAATATCAGACTTCCATCCATATTATAGCGAACTAGGTCGCCTGTCTTGTAGAGTCTGCCATGCCGTCCCTTCTGCTTGCCTGGAACGCCCATGAGCAACCATTTCGGGTCCTTGACGAAGGCTGCGTCAGGTTTCACCTTGATACCGAGATAACTGCAACCAAGAAGAGGCCCTTCAAGAAGGAGTTCTCCAACGCAGCCGGGCGGGAGCAGGGAGTCATGGTTTTTGGGGTCAACCACCCACGTCACTAGGCCGGCCCCCTTGGCGATCGTGACGACCTTTTCGGCACAGACTGCCACGGCTTCTGGTGGCAATATGGACTGTTTTTGGGCTAAAGGACCCTCTGCTGCTGGTACCTCGGAATTCCAACTCCATATAAGCTCCAAGTCATCCCGGGTTAAGAGGCTGTCGTTGCTGATTTTCTTGTGAGGTTCACTTATAAGCGATGACACGGCGGCTCCCATTGCCTTGGCTACCCGATCAGCTTCAGTGCTTGGAATAAACCCCCCTTTAAAAGTCATGTCAATCGACAGATCTGTATCACTGTCACCAACACTCAGGGAAATGGGATACTAAGGTGAATCATGTTAGTATTGGCTGATACCCGGAGGACATTCAAGCGATGGCACTGCATCTGCCTACCTCTACTGGATCATGAGCAAATCTCTCTCGGATGGTATGTCCGTCCGCGGATGCATCTGGCTGCTCGGCAACTCGTTGAAAACTAAGAATAGAATTAAACAGCCCAGACGAGCCGACTTCAAGAGCCTCGTGGATTTCCATTAGTGAAAACATCTGATGTGGCAAACTATCTACGTAGTCTTTCTGCGCTTCCCGCAATGTCTCCACGACCGAATGACCCCCGTCCAACCGAACACGATAGGGGATCATGGCGATGACGGGTCCAAACATATCCCCGAGTCTGTCGATAGGCACATCTCGACAGGAGGCGAGGTTGCCAAAGCAAGGGTTTGCGCAGCCTGTGAAGTGATACAGCACCAGGGCCCATGCTGTCTGAATCACAGAAGCCGTCGTGACTTCCCATTTAGCACAAAATTCATGTATTTTAGATGCCTCGAGGCCCGGAACTGAGACGGTAATGTCCTTGGACTCCCCTGTTGCCGATTTCGAGGGCGGGAAGAAACAGGGTTTCACCCCTTCCAAATACTTGACCCAAAAATCACGATGGGCACCACGCGGTTCCTTTTCAACGTATCTGATGAAGTCGCCGTACGAGGGTGCATCTGCATCCGCTGAGAGAGTGCCACTGTAGGCTTGCCAGAAGTCATGAAGCATCACGCCGGTCGAGTGTCCGTCCAAAATCACATGATTCAACTCGAACAAAATACGGACGTGCTTCTCATCAATGCTAGACACTGATAAGTGGTACTGCAGTGCGTACTTTTCATACTTGACGCGAGTGTGGCCGCCGCTGAGTCCACGGTCTATCGACGTGTCGGATGCAGACTGATCAAACGAAATGCTGGGTTTTGGGTCTTTGAGGACAACGTGCATTGTCCTGCTGCTCCCGGGCACCATATCAACCAAGATACAGCGCAGTAACGCGTGTCGCCGCACCACGGCTTGCCAGGCCCGTTCGATTCTGAGTAGGTCGACATGGTCGCCAGGCGTCTCAGTGGCTGTTATTTCAAAATCGAGCACCACTCGATAGTTGTCTAGGGATTTGAACTGGGCAAAGAGCAGACCCTCTTGCAAGCCGGTACATGGGAAAATATCTTCAATATCCTGTGCGTTCTGGAGCCCCAACTGGCTCAATGTGACAGACCGGAACTCGTCCATGTCGGTGTAAGACGTAAACGCCAAGGGAAAGTCGGATAGAGTCCATTCTGGCGACCTGTTGCTCAATAGCGCATCCAAATTCGTCAAGGCAGCTTTGTAGCTTACCAGCCAATGTTCGATTAAATCACCGTGTCGTGTGGTCTTGGGGTATTCGAGGGACACAGCCAGCCGGCCCTTGTCCACATGCGCGTTGAACTCAAACAGCGCAAAACGACGCAACTTTGACCACGATTCGGGATGGCAGTTTTCCACCATCGTGGTACTTTCGAAGAAGCTGTCGTTTCTTTCTAGCTGCTGGTAGGAGCCAGCAAAGTTGAGCAATACCTCGACAGGGAAGTCGGTGGCATGCCTTGCGGTAGTAGTCTCATGGGCAAATTTAGATGTAAAGTAGGACCAGCCATTCTTTGACAATCTTCTGACAGAATCCTTGGTCAGGCGTATAGTGTCTACCAAATCGAGGAGTTCTCTTTCGGGCACGAACGCAGGAGAAATCGTCGTGAACCAGCCAAGGACTCGAGAAAGGTCAATGCGGTTGTCCCAGGGTTCGCGGCCATGCCCTTCACTAAATACCGATGGCAAGGCTCGATCAGTAAAAACGGTTGAGAAGGAGTAAATAAGAGCCGCTATCATCAGTTCGACCGGGCGCGTGCCAAACGCCTCGTTGCAGGCGCCTAAAATCGCACTGGTAGCTTCTTCATCTATTACAAACTCCTTGGATACAATCGCTCCTTGCAAATTGCCATCAAATTTCAACCCCCAGTACGATAAAAGCGGCGGCTTGGCTTCCGGCTTTATTTCTTCTTGAAGGTTCTCAAGGGAATATTGTGCTTGAAGAGAGCACCACCTCTGGAAGCTTGTCGTCGGACTTGCGCATAGTTGGCGCCCACTAAGGAGACCTTCGAGCTCTTCGAGTAGAATCCTCCATGAAACTAGATCAATAACAAGGTGATGCACTGTGATGAACACGCTTTGACACTCCAGGTCGCTAAACAGAACTGCTGCCAGAATAGGGCCAGTCTCAATGTTAAGCCTCTCCCGACATTGACGAATATGGCTAGCCATTGGTGAAGTCACCGATTCTGTGCCATCTAACTCAGAAATGTGAAATGACTGCGACGCATCCTCAAGTATACGTTGCTTCCAAACGCCGTTGCTGGTTAGGATGAACCTGGCCCGGAGCATGGGATGTCTCATGACAATCGTCTCGGTAGCCTTTGACAAGGCGGCAAAGGATATCGGCTGACGCAATTTCAGGAAGAAGTTTTGGTCAAAACACTGGTTCGGATGCGACTGCGTCGCCACGTAAAGCCGCTGAATCGGGCTCAGCTCGAAAGGCTGGCCATCATCATTCTTCAGGTCAACCTTGCCCACCCTCGGGACATGATGTTTTGATAAAGAGGCAGCCGCCGCGATTGAGGAAATGGTCTTGCTGCGCATAATGTCCGCCGTAGATACATCCAGACCGAGCCCTCGGCAAGCCGCCGATGCCTGCATGGCAGTAATAGAGTCGCCGCCAAGCCGGAAGAAACTATCGTCGCAACCAATCTTGTCTGCATCGATGCCCAGGACACGAGCCCATACTTTCTGAAGCGTGTGTTCCGTCTCGTTGGCAGGGGCACGCTTGGTGCTGACAGACGCGCTTCTAAGCTGGGCAAGTTGCTGAAGAGTGACGCCGGCTCCGAGTTCGCGCAGACGACGCCGGTCTATCTTGCCGGAGCTGTTGGTAGGGAGTTCTTTCAGAGAGAAGTAAACTGTCGGAACCATGTAGCCGGGCAACCGCCTCGTAAGTTCATGGTCAACTTCAGCCGATACGCTCATGACTTGGACGTCTGGTGATACGGCCGCTTGATCATCAACGACAAGAAATGCAGCCAGTGTTGGCCGCCCTTGGCCTTTCGTATCCGCAGGTAGTATGACTTCAGCTACTACCTGTCTCGCAGCGGGAATGCTAACACGGACGTGGTGTTCGACGTCGCCTAGCTCGACTCTTTGCCCGCGAATCTTGACTTGGTTGGCATCCTTGCGTCCGACAAAGACCAGGCTGCCATCTGAATCATACCGCACCAAGTCTCCCGTCTTGTATAGGCGGCCTTGACGACCAGGATAGCCTGGCGCCCCGTGGCGAAGCCATGCTGGATCCTGGATAAAGGCTGCTGCTGTCTGTTTGGCATCACCAAGATAGCCACAGCCGACGAGAGGCCCTTCCAGCATCAACTCTCCGGCATCCCCGATAGGAACTAATCTATTGTGGTCTGAGGCCTGTACTACCCAAGCATTGACGCCAACACCCCTGCCTATGCTAGATGCCACTACACTCTCCCCCTCGATGGCTGCTATTGTGGTGATCGGAGTGCATTCGCAAGGACCGTACCCGTTTGTTAACCGAGTCAGCCCAACCCATCGCTTTGCGTACTCGGACGGCAGCGCCTCGCCAGCCAGCATGAGCGTCCGGAGGGAGCCGATAGTCTCAAGCGGGAGAATATTCGCGGTCGACGGCGTTAATATGGCAAAGGTGGCCTGTAGCCGGTGAATGGATCCCGCGAGATCATTTCTTCGATCCGCCTCGGAAGGAATGCACAGGCACGCGCCGTTTGTCAGAGACTGCAGGTTGTTGAACCAGCTGATGTCAAAAGCGTACGAAGCAAAATCGTATACTCTTGCCGTGGGTTCGACACTACCGGAGCTTGAGTTGCGCACATGCTGGATCGCGGAGCTGAAATTTCGATGAGTAATGACAGCACCTTTGGGAACTCCGGTACTTCCCGATGTGAAGGCAATATAGAGCTTGTTCGATGGTGTCACAACTGGCAGTTGACAGGTTCCCGATACCGACTTCAACCTTGCCAGCAGACTGTCATCAACTACCACAACGTGCTGGCGGATTACACGGCTCGCCAGCTCCCTGTTTGCCCAAGAAGACAGCATCAGTGGTGGCTCAGTTTGCTGTACGATTGTGCGAAGGCGCTCTTCCGGTTGGGTTGAGTCCAAAGCCACCGATGCTCCGCCGGCTTTCATGACCGCCAGCATGGCGACTGGTGTCCAGCGAGACTTTTCAAAGCACAAAGGCACAATCTGCTCTAACCCGACGCCGAGAATAACTAGATAATGGGCTATCCGTGAGGAAGCTTCGTCAAGCTCGCTGTATGTCCACTCTCCATCCCAGGCACATACGGCAGAAGCTTTAGGCTGAGCTTGAGCCGTCTGCTCGAATAATTCATGAACGCATTTCTCTGCTGCCAATGGTACTTTATGGTTCCAGTTCCACATTTGCTCAAGATCTTCGGGAGTTGTGGTTTCGACATCGGAGAGGAGAAGCTCCGGGTTGGCCTGGTTCAGCTGGGAGACCACATATGATAACCGGCTTAATAGCTTATCGACCCTCCATGGTTCTATCATCCTCGAGTCGAAGGAAGCTGAAACACTCACTGTTTCTCTACCAAGTTGCATGATAAGCACAAGGCCGTACGAGTCGATTCTGTCGCCTTGGCCGAAGTCGCCCTTCCACGTGCCCAGCTCGTCTGAGCTATCACTCGCTTCTTCCGGTTGTATTACGACCAGCGTTTGGAACCTGCATGCTTGACGTGTCCCAGAACTGAGTTCAGCCAGGTTGTGTAGGCCGAATTGCTCATATGGAATCATTCCCGTTGCCTGCTGCTGTGCTGTCTTGAGATATTCGACTGCCGTGTCGTTGCTGTTCCATTTTATACGCACTGGAACTGTCGCAAAGGTTGGGCCGGCTATCATTTCGATGCCGGGAAGTGATGCATTTCTGCCGAATAGCGTCACCCCAAAGACGACATCTTCCGTACTGGTCATCTTGCCAACAAGCAAGGCCCATGCTGCACGTATCATGATCGGAGGAGTAATACCCAGGCGGTTGCTTTGGGGCTTTGGGAATGAGTATTGAGCAGATTTGTCTGTCGATGGCTTCTCAATGTGCGGTGGGAGACTCGGGAAGGGTGCACATTGGCAGTCGTCGAGAGCATCAAGCCAGTACGCCCTCATCATCTTGCTGTCCTGATTCTTGACGTATTGTACGAAGGCTTGGAATGGCGGACCTTGTCGAAACTCTTCGCCCCGGTATGCCTTCTTCACAGCGTCTAGGATTAGTGGCATAGACCATCCATCATAGAGGGCGTGGTGTATAGTCAACACAAACCACTTGGGGGTTCCCATGGCGTCTATCAGGGCGAAGCGAGTCAGTGGCCGGCCCAGGTCCATGGGTCGCTCGATATCAGATTTGATATATTCCTCCAACGAATTTGCTTCAATCCAGTTTACAGGCTCGTTCATGACGATCTGCACAAGACCGACGCGGTCGTGATGCACCAATCTAGTGCGTAGAATTGGTAAACGGCGCACAACTTGCTCCCATGCCGAACGCAGCTTCTCGATTGAAGCATCAGGTGATATTTCAAGCACGTTCTGCCCTATATAAGAGCCTGGACTCATTGACGTCAAGGACATCAGACCTTCTTGCAGCGGAGTGCATGGATATGCGTCTTGTATGAACGTATTTTCTGTTGTCCTATCGATCTGGCCTAGGTCGTATTGGATGCATATCTCTTGAAGAAGAGTACTTGGAGAAGCCTCGTTGTCTAAGAGGGTAAATGGACCTATTGCTTGGTCTGGTTTCTCATCCGGGGATTCATGGAGGCTCTGGTCGACGAGCTCATGCAGCACCGGATAACGAAATATATCAGCTACACTCAGTTTCATGCCAATCTCTCGAGCCACAGCCACGACTTTCATGGCGGATATGGAGCTGCCTCCGAGATGGAAGAAACTAGCATCGGTCCCGATGGTGGAAGGGTCAATATTCAAGACTTGTGCCCAAACCTGGAGCATCTGTCGCTGTGCTTCCGACACGGGCTGCCAAACAGGGCCTCGTACCGAGGTCTTGGACTGGAGACCTTTGACAAGTGCTAGGCGATCGATTTTGCCGTTTCGGTTGAGAGGCATTCTGTCCAGAACCTCAATCACTTGCGGTACCATGTATAGGGGGAGCTGAGCCTTCAGCATCCCAAAGAGCTCGTTCTGAATCTCTTGCTTACTCCTCTTTGGCGACTTTCCATTGTTGAGAGACTGCTCGGTCCGACCCCGATAGTCCATCATGGGGATATATTCCCCGTCGCAGTGCGCCTTCCATCCATCTCCGTTGTCAGTCAGCGAGTCGATGCCACCAACATCACGCACAGTCACGAAGCTGACGATCCGGGACTCTTGGCCCTCTTCGTGTTGTAATGCGGCAACCGCCTCATCCACACGGCCATGATTGCGGAGGGTGTGCTCAATCTCCCCGAGCTCAAGCCGCTGGCCTCGGATCTTCACTTGAGCAGCTTGCTTCCGGCCAACGAATTTCAGGCACCCGTTGCTCGTGTATTGTACCAAGTCGCCGGTCTTGTACAGCCTACCGCGCCGCCCCGGCTTGGTTGGGGTTCCGCGAAGTAGCCACTCCGGATCCTCTATAAACGAAGCCGCAGTCTTTGCATCGTCATTCAGATAACCTCGGCCGACGAGTGGACCTTCTAGTAATAGTTCGCCCGTACATCCTGGAACAAGCAGCGTCTCGTGGTCTTCTGGATCAACGATCCAGGTCACTAGTCCCACGCCCTTTCCCATATGTACCGCCTCGTCCGGGCCGGCCATGCTGTAGTTGATGGTACTTGTCGGTGTGCATTCGCATGGCCCGTAGATGTGAATGATGTTGACTCTTCCCCACCATCGCTTGATATCCGTAGGATGCAAGGCCTCTCCTCCGAAAATTACAGTGTTGACCGAAGGTAGCCTGTCGGGCGATAGGACTTGCGCCATGGACGGCGTAATATCAAGTATATTGGCTTCTAAGGAGGCTATGCTTTTCTCCAAGTTATCCTTGCGATCTTCATCGCCTGGAACACATAGGCAGCCACCAGTCGCCAGGGCAGAGAGCACATTGCTGACGGAGACATCGAAGCTGTACGATGCAAAGTCAAATATCCTCGCATTCTGATTCATCCCCATACATTCTGCTTGATGGTATAGAGCTGAAGCGGCATTTTTGTTGGTAATCAAGACCCCCTTTGGCATGCCAGTGCTTCCAGATGTGAAAACCGCATAGAGAAGTGATGCCGGGTTGGCAGGGTAGGTTTGCGGGACACCATCATCAACGTTTTCGAATTCGGTCGAGGTGAAGAAGTCCCAATTGATGACGATTGCTCTCTGTGTAAATCGCGAACTCACTTCACCATTGGAAGGGGAAGATATGATGACCTTGGCCTGGAGTTGCTGAACAATGACTTGCAGGCGCTGTTCCGGGAGCGAGGGATCCAGCAGAACAAAAGCGCCTCCAGCTTTAATTACCCCGAGGATTGCCACTGTAGTCCACATAGACTTTTCAAAACATAGCGGTACCAAGATATCTGGTCTGACCCCTAAGCGGCGAAGTCTTGACGCTAGTTTGGTGGCAAGGCCATCGAGCTCACTGTATGTAAGCTCTCCGTCCCAGGCACAAACAGCAGGAGCATCAGGTTGAGCCCGAACTCTCTCACTTATCAAATCATGGACGCATCGCTCCACGGACTTTGGTGCCGTGCTATTCCATCCCCAGATTTGCTCTAGATGTTGCGGCGCCGCGGCGCTGCCCGAGGCTGGCTTCATCAACTCGCCATTCGGGTGAGGCTCACGGTCGTGGTCAATTTTGACTTTTTGAGTTACTGTTGCCGGGCTACCATTGCTCGCCGTGGTGGATGGGATTCCGGTAGACCTTTTGGTGCCGTTGCTACCGTTTGCTAAGAAACAACCCTCTTTACTTGCTGTGCCATTTTGTAGCGGCATTGTCGCTGGCAGGCTGTTATTGAAACCAGGCTTCGATACTTTGCATGTAAGCTCTTGACCAAGGACTTGGCTCAATCCATCTCCGGGCATGTCGACAGTGTTGACTGGGATTAGTCCGGGGATGACAAGTATATCTAACCCCCACGTTATATCGTCACCTTGACTTTTTGCTATATTTTGCGGTGTGAATATCAGAGGACCAGTATTGCGCGGTTGATTAGCGTTCCGGTTGGCCTTCATGTGCCTACTGTTTGAGGCTTCGGGATTATCAGAGTTGACGCAAGGATGAAGGCTGCAAGTGTCGGTGGCTGAGATCTTGATTCACTTAGGTACTCTTTCGGAGTACTACGTACCTAACCCCGGATTTACGGAGTAGTTCCCAACTCGATGACATATTGAGCCCAATTCTATATATGGCGACCAGTGCCGGCGGAGCTGCCGAGTTACATTGCGCCCACTAGCTTTGTAACGGTGCTCTGCCGTCTTAGTACGCCTCTTATTCGTACCAGCTCTTATTTGCTGAAATCACACCGAATCAGGCGTGTGTGTGTCACACAAAAAGGCACGGGGGGGCACGTTGATGGGGATATTACGTTACCATCGGCATCCTTTCGTGGAACTAGCAGCCGCAGTCGCTGCGACATGAGAACTACATAGTAGCGAGTACAGTCGATGCGCAAGAAACCTAATCCGGAAGAAGTAGCTCGCCACCTGCAACGATTCTTACTCTATCAACTTTGCGTCTCGCATCGGGCATTGGGTTTGGGCTCTCTTCTCTCAATCATATCTCACGTCGTAGTTGGCTGTCCAAAAAAGATCAACCCTTGCATATTCCACCGACTTCACACAATGGACATGAGCCAAAGAACGGTGTACAACACAGCTGCTCCCCAACACTGTCCTATCATGGCCAACTACGTGTAATCGTCCGGCAGCACGGCGGTTGAGTCCTGGCGAAGCCCAGGCTGAAGCAGCAACATTGAATTGAAAGACTATGCGGAGCTATAGCTTCTCCCATGTACTCCGTATGCACAGAGGACAAGCCGTACAGCCCCGAGGGTGCCGGAAAAAGAAAAAAAGGAGAGACGGATGGACGCTTAGATTTCCGCAGCACCCTCATTGCAGTCCACAGAGGTCATGCGTACGGAATATGGTCCCCTACAACGCGTGCTTCCAAATGGCGGTGTGTCTGCTGCATTTTTGCAGCTCGTTGATGCCTACACTCCCGTCAATATGGGCTGAATATGCGGTCCATGATGCATGGGCTATGATCGGTCTTGATGCCAAGTAACAGTTTTCGACTTCACCTGCCATTTATTCGTTCTATATGACAGGGATCCTTGATGTGGGCACAACTCCATGTCAGTGTGTCAATGTGACAGCATTTTTGTGCCGGCAAATCCATACATGTACTGCCTTGATCAACTAGCTCAACATCTGTAACGGTGTAGGACTATGTAGTACTTGACAGCATATTCAGTATATTCAGTTGCAACCGTGAATCTGAGACAGATGAGGCAGTGAGAACTATATCTTGGTTCAATTAGTAGCCACGCTCCTCGCAAGACACGTCGGCTGCAGCTTCGCCCTGCTGGGGAACGTGTCTGACATGATCCGTCAGCTTCAATGAACTGCATGTAGTACGGAGTGCTGCATTTGGGTACAATCGCGTTGCAATCTATTATTCGCCCACAGATCTGACGACAGACGTATCCTACCATTCGTTCATTGGCCTCAGACCGAAGACTCTACAATCCAGACATTACAGTATTCCGTATCAACACTGGTCCAGGAACGGGTCAAGATTTTCCGCTCATGATTTCCCCTTGACGACAAATAACGACCTTTTGACAATTGATGATGGAAGAAATGCTCGCCTTGGCACTGACATCAGTGCAGAGTTGGCACCCCCTTCCGAACCGGCAAACCCTCGCAGTCTTGTGCATCTCATCGTTAATCGCCACTGTATGGCTCGCGTATCGTCGTTACAGTCCGCTCCATCACGTTCGTGGCTCCTGGCTATGCAAGATTTCAGGCCTGTGTCTGGCCTTGGCTGATTTTCGCTCTTGTCGAAATGACAAAATCCTCGAGTGGCATCGGAGATATGGCCCTGTTATATGTATCGCGCCAAACGAGGTCTCAGTCGCGACACTGGAAGGCACAAGAGACATCTACGGCACAGCGCACCGATGGCCAAAGAGCAACTACTTTGACCATTTCATGGGATATAACCGGCGCTCGGTGTTCGCCACGAAGCCTTATAAGGAACACCAGGCAAAGCGTAGGCTCATCTCGGCCTTTTATCAACCGTCTACTATATACAAGCTGCCCCATATCGAACAACACGTCCAAGAGCGTGCTCAAACAGTTGTCCGACAAATATCAGCGAATACAGAGATTGATGTCTACAGTTTGACAGACTGGTACGCGCTTGATATCATTACCCATCTTGTTCTGGGACCAGACTACTGCACTCGCTCTGTCGAAACGACTTGCCCTGAGCGCGACATCCTCGCCGGGCTAAAGCAACAACAGTTTGTCGGGTCCCTGCGCATCCGGTACCCAACGGTCTACGACTACGTTTCTAGATGTTGCAGAGCTCTGAGCTCGAGATTCAGCTATCTATCGGCGGATGACGAGCTCGCAGCCTGGTGTAAGCAACGCACTGCCAACGCCATCAAAGGGCCTAGCATATCTGATTCTCATTCTCTACTCCGACACCTCCTTCAAGTACACGAGAGTGACAAGAAGAAGCCGCCGCTTGACCGGCAGTACATTGCAGCCGAGGTGCTCGACAATATCAATGCTGCCGAAGCCACGGTTGCGGTAACGGCAACATACTTGATATGGAGACTAACAGAGGCTCCGGAGTGGCAGAAGAAGATACGAGACGAGTTGGCCGCTTTACTCGTACAGTCCGATGGCTTTCTGCCATTTTCGGAGCTTGATAGCCGAGTTCCCTCACTCGAGGCTTGTCTTCGCGAGGTCTACCGTCTACACCCGGCATCCAGTGGACGAGCCGAGCGCATTGTTCCCGAGGGCGGCCACGTCTTGTGTGGAGTCTATCTCCCACAGGGGACGATAGTGACAACCTCTGTTATGGCTCTTCATCGAGATGAGACCATTTTTCCAGATCCCGATCGATTCAGTCCTGGGAGGTGGCTTGACGGGGACCCGTTGGCGATGAAGAAGCGTGAGGCCTATCTGATTCCGTTTGGGCATGGTGCCAGAATATGTCTAGGCAAAGCCCTGGCCACGCTGGAAATCAAAGTTCTTATTGCACACATATATCTGAGGTATAATACCACGATGGGAAGATCAATGACTCCAGAGTCGATGAGGCAGTGTAGCACCCACGACGCGGTGCCCAAGGGCCTGAAATGTGTAGTCCGGTTCCAGAAGATTGACGAGGAGATTCGCAATCACAATGCCAACTAGATATATTAGACGTCAGCTATTTTCCAATGCATCCGTACAGACTCCACACCCTGCTTTGTGTATCCGTGATGCGTCCCTCTCTGTGATATTGCTGAGTGCACGTGACGTGAAAACTGCGGTGAAAAGGCACCTTGTCCTACATCAGCATCTGCAGCACTGTCCAAGAGACGTGCGGGGGCAAGCCGACGGACGGATCGAGGGCAGACCTACAATACAAGGCTTGTCCGTCAAGCTCCGGCTCCAACACGTCGGCAGATGGTCGAGTTTACGCCTCTTTTGCCTTCTTCCCTCGCACAGCACAGCTCCGGCAACAACACCTACGAGATGAACTACCAACGAATGGCCATTGAGAAGGAGGCCCCCGAGGAGGTGGGAATTGCGATCAAGTACAATCTTTCCGAGAGTGCCATATCAGACCAGACGCTGAAATCATTGAACATCACCATTCCCGCGGACACCGTGCTCACTTACACGGAGCACAAGGGCAGTTCCAAGATTCGCTCTTTCGTCGCCGAGGCTTCTCACCGGGCCATTACCCCAGAAGACGTTCTCGTAACAGCAGGCGCCTCGACGTCGCTCTTCATCGTCAACAGCGCTCTGCTGAGCTCGGGGGACCATGTGATCATCACGCGTCCCAACTATGCGACCAACCTGGAAGTTCCGCGCGCCATCGGCTGCGCCATCACGTACGTCGACCTCGAGTTTGAATCGCAGTACCGCCTGGACATTGGTCGCGTGCGCGCCGCAATTCGCCCCGGCGTCACCAAGCTCATCAGCATCTGCTCTCCCAACAATCCTACAGGTACCATGCACACCGGCCCCGAGCTCCGGGCCCTCGCGGACCTCGCCGAGGAAAAGGGGTGCTACCTCCTTGTTGACGAGACGTACTCGGAGCTCAGGTACGCCTCTGGCCATTCAGCAGGGGAGGATGCCGTTCCCGCAGCGGCTTCACTTGGCAGTCACGTCGTTGGCGTTTCCTCCATGTCCAAAGCCTATGGCGTTCCTGGCATCCGCGTGGGGTGGCTCACTACTACCAACGCCCGCCTGCAGGAGATATTCCTCGCGGCCAAGGAGCAGATAAGTATCTGCGGCAGTAACCTTGACGAAATCTGCGCGGAGCAAATCTTGTCCCGGAGGGGCGAGCTGATTCCCGCGACCATTGCCGACATGCAGAGGCGGAGAGATTGCGTTGCGCGCTGGATTGCCGAGGAGAGCGAGTGGCTGGATTGGGTGAGGCCGGAAGCAGGAGTCATGTGCTTTGTCAAGATTAAAAAGGAGCCGGTTGGGGGGCTGGGCGCATTCTACACAACGTTGCTGGAGAAGCATGGCGTGTATATTGGCCGAGGGGGCTGGTTTGAGAGAGATGATAGTTTTTTCCGGCTGGGATACGGATGGCCAACGTGGCGGGAACTGGAAGAGGGACTTGTCTGCATCTCCAAGGTTCTTCGGGGATGAAAGCCACATGGGTTCCAGGAAATCAAGGCTGGACTTGTTCGACTGGTGTTTGGTCAACGGGTATGCATTCTGTGCATGCACATTGTGTTTAATCGGCCGATTATCAGATGGGAGCATATCTTCGCGTAGGAAAGCATTCTTACAGGGCATCTTTTGAAACAAAAAGAGTTGAGACGTTTTTTGTTCCCTGCATTTGTCACATGTTGTGTTTGGTTCTGCTTATGGCTTAAATAGCTGGCAAATTGGTAAATCAGCCCCTGAGTTGACCCAAGTCTGGAATCTGTGGCCGGCATTGTGATGGAACACTGTGTTATGTATGGCATATTACTTGCCGCAGAATTATTATCCAAACATGCCAAGACCTGCATTGACTTGCCAGATTCGCTACAACCGATATATCAACTATACAATATGACTGATGCGTCATCGACAACCTGTCAGGGGGTGAGACTGCATTCAGGCAACTTGTCATGGCCGGTTTTGGCAGGCTGGCTCATTTGTCTGCAGGTAGAGGCTGGCGAATTGGCATCTAGAACTAACACCGTGTCTGATGTGAGAAGATATGCGTGCTTACCGGACCCTACTGGCACATTGTGTCGGGTTACTTCTGCAGATGCTCTATTTTATTTATACATGCTTCGAAACCACTTGGCCATTCAATATCGTGCAACATGGCGTATAACCTAATACATTACGGAGTACTTTCTGCTTCCCTACGCCTCAACTAGAGTGAAAAGTCAGCAAGCAAGAGATGTCACATGCATGGATTATGCAGGAGACATGAGCGCTGGACCAATATTATGAGTCCCCCGTCTAATAAGGTGCCAGGTTATTTGCAGCAACGGATGGACCAAGAGCGCATAATCTAGTCACTATATTGATGGTACGTTTGGAACAATGTCATGTGTCTTCGATTCGCTGGCTTTACCCCTTTCCTCTCAGAAGAACGTGTCACATTTCAGTTCGTTTGTCCATCACGTACGGAGTATACTTTGAACTCCCTGGGTCCATTGTCACCGGATGCTCAAAAAATACTCGCAAGCGCCGGGATTCTCTCAATTGACATGGGCAAATCGTGATGCTCTGCAGCGGATACCAAACAACCAAGTTCATTCACACGGCCTCACCGTCTCCGTACAACAGCCGACCAGCGCAAAACCACTCAGCCAGTGGCAAGTGTCTAATCACGATCCTCGGGATGAAAAACCAATGCCCTCATCTCAATGCTCTCCCTCGTCGCCTCCTGCTCCGTCGCTGGGTCAACAAACGCCGAATGAGGCACCCGCCTCGCCCTCCCATCCACCTTGGAGTCGTAAAACTTGATCAAAGTAACCATATTCGGAGTCTGCTTGTAGCGAAAGTACCACTTAATGTTTGGGTCTGCCTTGACGTTCCACGCCTCTCCCTCTTGGTCCGGGGCGATAAACTTGACGGGGAACAGGCCGCTTTCGGGCGCAGAGTGCGCATCGGCAAGTGCCAACGGGTCCTTGAGAATGGTACGGATCGGGCGCCAGACGCTGATCATCTGGTAGCGGCCCCTGAGGAGCTCGGGTGCTTCGTCGGGAAGATAGTGCCAGGCTTTGCACTTGGCGCCGTGGTAGGACGAGTCGATGTGAACACGTTTGAGCGGACCACGGGGCTGACCCTTGGTGGTCCAATCTTTTGCGGCTCGTCGGATGGTGTGGTCATATATGAAGACCCGAGAGGCCCCCGTGCTGTGCTGGTCAACCGTTTGATCTGTCCGTTTTGGAGTCAGGAAGTTCGCCTTGCTTACACATCTTTGAGCAGCTGCTCTGTCTCTGGGTAATAGTCTGCTCGTATCTTGTCATCGTCGGTGAATTCCTTCACTTGGCTGTTGTGGTAGTAGAACTGGAATCCGTGGCTGTCTAGGGTGTATTCATGCTCGTGGCCACTGATATCATGAATGGTGGCAGGGATAGTGACGGTAGGTCGCTCGTAGCTCTCTGGCTTTCCGATATATATTGGCGCTTGGGGGGAGCCATCTTCGTTCTCTTTGACAAAGGTGAGCGTAGTCTGAACATGGTGAGGGCCTTCTTTCGCGGGGGCTTGCAGCTTTTCTGCTAGAAGAGGGCCATTGGAGTCGGGGAGATGGACGGTCGCTGGAGCCATCTTCCAGAGTTGGTTAACTTGGATCGTACGATGAGTTTTGTTTGTATTTCTTGGGCTGAAGACGGAAGATGCTAGAAGACTGGGGATTAAATATTTGACCGCATGACGAGATGCAAGGGACAGAGCGCAAATTGGTTGCTCACTTTGCTCGTTGTAGTAACGTTATGGTTTCTTGCTTGATAATCTCTCTTCTCGCGTGGATGAAGCAACAGCCCAGGCATTTGCTGTTTCTATTGTGAAATTTTCATCCACCAGAAGCAAATGCACGGAGTTTCTACCGCGGAGAAATGCGACGTCGTACATTCCATTGTACCCACGAAGTGACTACGAGGTAGGGGCAAGTTCAATGTACAAGACAGCGGCAGCATTACAATGCGGGCTAAAATAGTTACAGCGGTAGCCGGTGGCTGCGCTTGATAGTGCCGAATCTCATCGTCAATGATTTGGCTTAGTTCGTAAGCGCACCGCTCTCTTTTCTCTTGTCCGGCTGCATAATTGTATTCTGATAAAACTCGACTCGCCAATATCTGTAAGTTATTTGCAGATGATTAATAATTCATGGTAAAGAGACTATTGTTGACAGGAATCGGAATCGGGTCGAGTGTGAATCACAGACCTCCACCAGTATTTTCAAACTCCTGACACCGCAATGGGGCGTATACCGGGCTCATTTCTGTGCGTCTAGACTGTCACAAGCTAAATAGAGCCCAAATATCAAACGAATAACCTGCAGTTGGATATAGTCGGTCAACCGCAGCTATTGCTAGATGGTTTTTTCTCCATGGCTCCATGATATATCCCAATACCCGCCGTGACAACCATGAACAGGCCAGTCACCTCTTAAGACTGACGCACCAAGGCGCCAATTTGGCCAACAAGTATTGACCTGATCAAATATAAAAGAAGTCATCCTTTCGATGGCGAGCTCCCAAACATCAGCAAAGGGTCTATTCGCCACCAGAGCCTGTTCAACGCCGCATACCAAGGTGCATTAGTCGATTAAAAAAGCATCATGACGAATCCTTTTTTTACTCTGATTTTTAGACCTGGTATCTTTAAAGCAATCTCTTGATTTATTTCATTTCACAAGACATGATAAGAACTCTTGTGAATGCCTTCCTTAAGACTCGGGATTTGTGATGACGAAACACTCCGATACGCCCAAACACAAAGCCAAGCTCGTATGGAACTGCTCCTACAAGTACTTGAGTTTTGTAAAATTGAACAGAGCATACCATTCATAGCTACATTGTGAAACCATGCTCATTCCTCAGCGAGGGCTTCACGACGGGTCTTGCTGCTCGGGTTGAAATATGGTCTCTCGCCGATGCCAACCGCGCGATGGCCAGTGCGGGCACCCAATCCAGCGTAATCAAAAATAGCGGTGTGGTAGACGGAGCGGTTGTCCCAGATGGCTAAGTACTCGTCAGATATACCAGATCAATACATGCTCTAGAGTCCGACTACTCACCGATGTCGTAGGGATTCTCCCACCGATGCCTCAGTTGGCAGTCGTGTTCTTCGACAATCAACTGCAGGAACCAGTCGAGCAGTCTTTTGCTTTCATCAGATGTCACATCATTGATGCGCTCGACGTGGTTGCCAACGGCAAAGAGGCTCTTCCATCCAGTGACGGGGTTGGTGCGAACGACCGGGTGGACGGCGCGCAGAGAAGTGCCAATGTTGTTGGGGGACCCGCGAGGCTTGGAATATAGCTCGAATCCCTTGGCAGCAGCTACATTTGGTAATCTAGATTGGGAGAAGTCGGCTGTGAGCCCTTCGAGGAATTTGCGGTAGGCGGGAGACACTTTGTCGTAGATTTCGCAAGACGAGGCCCACATTGTATCTATGCAGGGAACAGTCAGAACGATGTAGAATGGAGCGTGGAAAGGGGCCAAACGGCATGGCATACCTCCGCCGGTCTTTGGGAGTTTGATGAGCTTCAAGATGGAGTAATCGGGTGGATTCGGTTCATACCCAGCATCCGTATGCCAGCTGTTTCTTATATCGGCCGGTCTGTTTTTCCAAAGGTCCTCTGCAGGGTTAGTCGCCTGGTCGGTGGTGATGATGTTGAGATGGGGGTCCCGATCTGCGTTGAAGTTGGCCAGTGGATGAATGTGCAGTGTTGAGGATTCCGGTTTGCCTGTTAGACGGCCCAGGCGAAGAGCTAACTCCTTTTGAAGCTCGTCTGTGAGGTCAGTCTGGGCTCGAAAGAAAACCACACCCCGACGAGAGACTATAGCGCTTGTTAGACATGTTCCATGAAACAATTCTGTAGTGTATACACACTGGTAACAGCCAAGTCTCGCAAAATTTCATCGCTGTTTGCATCCTTCATCCATTCCACCACGTTGGCGTCGGGGAACTCGGTTCCGATTACGGGGGTGACATTGTACGACTTGTAGCCATCCAGAAGACCCCTTAGTTTCAAAGGTTCCCTGACGGAGGGGCCGTCACCGGCACTGCCTCGCAGGTCATGATCATGGGAGAGGGTCATTTTATAGCAATGGGGCAAGAGTAAGATTCCAGGGTAGAAATAGATGAAAATGCGAATCTCGCCGGTTCCGAGGCCTTATTTATGTTTAGGTCTTGGATTCAAAATAGGAAATGAGGCGCGGGGGTAGTCGGATTCAGAAGGAGACGGATCGGTTGCAAGTCCCATGCTTCATTGTCCGCTGTACTCCTCTTTCTACAAACAGCCCTTTTGGTTCGCCGGTTTCCAGCTAGAATATGAAACCGGGGCGCAACGTCGCCAGTACGAATACTTGACTATTCGGTAAGGCGAGAGCCATACAAATTTCGCGGTGATGTCTACATTCTTGATAGGCTACTGTCTAGGACTGGACTGAAGCATGTTGGGCACAACATGATATCGGCAATTTGAGCAAACTAGTTAGCCTCATGTACAATTTATTCTAAAATAATAGGAGTAAACTCTCATTGGAATAGACTGGAATAGTTTTATCACGTCGGTCACGAAAGAAATTTGGCCCCTACCCTAGGCCAGTAGAATCGAGAATACTGTACTGATGCTCTGGACTCGCATTTCGCAGGTAATATGAACAAAATGTCGTTTTGGAGTCTAAATCTTCCTACGGTTGAAATTTCGATGTTGGCTGAGTCTGTTCAAGAGTTGTACATGAGATATGAGAATAGCGGTACTGCATCGTGTCCTTAATGAGACGGAACAAAGTTTCATCCGCTTGCGTGGTTGTTGTCGAAACTTTGGACTTTACAATTATAAGATGAAATCCAAAAGGCACATTCAGATAGACGCACTCAAAAATGGGGTAAATTCTTCGACCAAAAACCGGGGAATTGTTCAGTTCACCCAAATTTCCGAATCATGAATGTACTTTGGCGTTGCAGCCACTGTAACAGAAAGGGGATAAAGGGGATTAGACGAATTAGCCCAGTAGAAAGTCGGTAAACCGGGTCATGACGATTTCTTATTCTTCCAGTCTTTTCTATTCGTCTGTTACTCTTCTATGCTGAACAAGTAGGATGTAAGGTCACAAAGGTGAAGCAGAAAACTCCTCCAAGTTCAACCCCCTATGTTCCCATTCGCAACCAAAAATGAGCAATTGGCAGTCCAGTAGTTCATTGTTTTAAGGCATGTACTACCTGGTCGAGCTTTTTTGTGAATATCTTCATCTCGTCCAAGGTGTTGTAATGGGTCAAGCTTGTGCGAATGATACCGTCATCTGCCAGTCCCAGAATATCATGGACTGTACGGGGAGACCAACAGTCACCAGTAAGTAGCCGACAGTTTGATTTTTCGTGAATCTCGTTCGCGACCTTGTCAGAAGTGAGCCCGTTCACAGAAAAGCTGATCAAGGCAACACGGGTTTTCGGATCCGACGTTCGCGACCCATATACAGTGTAAAGATCCGGGTTGGCCGTCAAATAATCGAGAAGATATCTTGTAATCACTTCCTCGTAGGCAATTATAGAATCCCAGCCAACCTCATCGACGAGGTAATTGATAATGGGGACCAGAGCATGTTCGAGCTCAATGCAGCTGTTGCCAAGGCCCAGCTTCACGGCTAAAGAGGACGAATCCAGGAAGTAGTGGTTGAGACTCGTCAAGTAGCGCTGCTGAACATTCCGTCTGGCATAGACCTGAGCAATATGGGGACCAAAAACCTTGTACCAGCTAAAAACGTAGAAGTCGACATTCAACTTCCTAACGTCGATAGGGCGATGGGGAGCCCAGGCTACTCCGTCCACACATATTAAAGCCCCAGGGACGGTATGAACGAGCTCCGCAATCTCTTTAATGGGTTCAATAGTTCCGGTAATATTTGACACATGCCCACAGCATACAAGCCGCGTTTTTGATGACAAAAGTGGTCGGAGCGATTCTAGCGTAAGCTTCGGGTCTCTGTTGTTGCCCATTCCCCCAGCCGGCACCCACCACTTGATGGATATACCCAAGCTCTTTGCTAAGGCAACCCACGCAGTTATGCCCGCTTCATGGCAAAGAACGGATACAATAATTTCAGAATCCGCATTGAGATTTGGACGAAGAGAATTGGTCAGAGTTCGTAGTAGCCCGGTAGTAGAAGGCCCAAAGGCTTTGTTTTCAAGTCTCATTAGCAACACTCATCAGTATCACATGAATCATATGACGTCAAATGAATATCGTAAGTATACCTTTAGCAAACTATACGAAATAGTGTCCGCGACCGGGTATCTCTTACCAATTTCGTCAGGGTCGGCATTCATGAATGACGCAAGCTTCACGTATTGGGCCGCACGCTCTCTAACGTCAATGCGGCTTTTTGAGTCCAGTCCGCGCAAATTCATGTGTGGAGAGGACATTGTCCGGGTGATGCTGCGTAGGCCATGTTCTTAATTGACAGAGTTCTACCGCAGCATTATATAGCGCCATGTATCGAACTCACCTCTCCATGACACCTTTATGAACCAAAGCACCAGAGCCATTGTTCAGGCAGATCAACCCTTTATTGAGACCCGGAAATTGTTTTCGAACAGTCTCAATGACAAGATTGGGGAGGCGCGTGCGAATATTCATTGGTGGAGTGTGTTGATAAAGAACAAAGTTGACAGGATAAGTAGTGCGGCAAGAGGCTAGAAGTTGGATTTGTGGTGAGTTTGTGTTTTGGCCTTTGCGTTAAAAGCTCAATAAGAAGTAACTGAGGTTTTCAAGTAAGACGCAGCTGGTTTAATGTTCAAAATCCAGCCAAGCCGCTCGTTTTACCGTCGACCCCTTGAAGGCAACACCCCTGCCCAAAGGCATCGAACATGACGGCGAGATGCATCCTAGAGAGTATAAGAAGGCCAATTCTTATCTGGTGAACGTTTGTCATAAAGTGATTTAATCGCGTCTTTGTCACTTCGTTCCCTCTCGGCTGACTTGGAAATTGTAGAATGGCAAGAACGGTCATGATGCCACCGGTGGCAAGCAGTTACGCCAACGCCAGCCGGTGACGAAGTAACATCGTCACCAAGCTATCCGCGCCATGTACCGCCGCTCATCGCCGCTTCAGCAGATCTGGGCCGTTGTAACCCCAGGTTTGCCGGCTAAGCGGGATTTTGATTCCGGTGACATTGAACGGACGGGAGACGTGTGACGTGGGACGGAAGCTGGGGCTCCACAAGTTCCTGAAATTCCCAGAGATTCATGCCTAAGTGGGTCCGAGCCGTGGTGGCGATTGTGAGTGAGCCGTGATGAACCAAGACCGACATTTGGATCCGACGTTGTGGCTGGCTGAGACATGCCGCAGGGGAACCATGATATCTTCAAGGGCATTCAAGGCCTGTACCCCAGACTCGGCACACTGTTCCCCGTACCGTTCCCCGATGGTTTTTAGCACTAGGAAATCCGAGTCATGTTCATTGTTGAGTCTGACCGCGTCCAGGCCGGACTCCTCTTTCCTCAAGTCCAGCTTCCTCCTGGATGCGTATGGAGCCGAAGTCGACGCCGGAGCTACAAGACTTGCTTGCCCAGCTCGCTCGGTTCTTGAGGGCGAATGAGTCGAGAATCTCAGCGGAACAGGTATCGAAATGTTTGCAGCATCTATCGGCCATGGAGCTGTCGGCCCTGAATCGTCTGTTTTGTTTATTGTATCAAACAAAGGTTGGTGGGCTCATGCAGAAATCTGAAATTGTGGCCTCGGACCCTGTGATCTGATCTTGGCAAGAAGAGGGGCGCACCTTCCCGCCCAGATGCGAGTGGGACCTCGAGCCCACCATCAGTCGCATCCCTCAACAACACCAACACCAACAACAATGGCAATCTTCACGCCAACAGACCCAGGCCATCTAGGCTAGGAGACGCAACCTCGGCGGCTGGGAACGTTCGTCAGGGTGACAGCTGTGCAAGGTCACCGTCGTCCACAGACCGACCTCGCAACACCCGTCATTCTCACGGACACCAGCCTTCTCCTAGCCCAGACGCCTCACACCAAGTCGAAACGACGACTCTCCATGCCGGGGCCGATGGCGACGCCTTTGTCAGAACGGACTTGGCCACCTGCAACGAAATAAAGTTTGCAACGAGCACCAAACAACTCTTGGAGAACTGTAGAACAGATCGCGGGAAGTTCCTGCGGGCAATCAGGGAAGCTAAAGCGGCTCTCCCAACCGGGCATGGATGGGAAGCCGCCATAGCCACCAAGAAAGAAAATGCTGACATTCGCGATATAATGAGGATTTACCATAGGTTCGAATGCCACAATATTTACTCGCATGTTGTCGAGGCAGGATTCCATACCGGCACTCATTGGATCCGGGAAATGCGAACTGTGCTGGTTAATAAGCTTTGCAAGGACTTCCCAGAGCGCTTCCCAAGCCAAAAGACGGCCAACAAATGTTTGAACTGGGTTGATCAGGGCTGTAGGTATCGTGAATGGACTGACCTGCTCAGCGAAACATCAGATCTTGGATATCTTCTCGCGCTGCCTGCAGATGTGCCGCACTCAGCGTATGCCTTCTTCCAACCACACCCACCTCAACGGGCAACCCTGGCTCACAAACATCTTACAGGTACACATCCAGATGTACCAAGGAGCAAATGACTGCGGCTGCTCTCAGGTTCAAAAGTTTGGGCATCGATAAGCTGGTGGAGGATTTGAAACTTTCGGAACTGGGCAACCATGTCTCAACGAAATTGAGGGAAATGACGGGCAAGAAGCGCAAGGATGCTGATGGTAGGCTCTCTTCGAGTGCCCTCGTTTCACATCAATCGCAATGCTTATATATGCGAATCAGAAGAGCTGAACCAGAACTCCCGCAAATCACCGCGATTAACGCCATCCTCGGGCGCGGGCGAATTGGGCCTCGTTCAACCGGCTGGCCAGTTGACTACGCCGCCCGAATCAATGCCAGCTGGTACTGAGACTATGCCACGGGTGATTTTTCAGTTCACTAATATATTAATAGGTATTGGCGACCTCTTTGGTTACCCTACTCACTGTTTGATGCCACCTTTGGCGCAAGAATATTCCGGCGATCAGGAACGGGACCGAGAACATCATAACACGATCGGAACAATGGTGGATAGCTTTTTAGCCCCGTATGACCCTTTCAACAACTGTACGGTCACACTTGACCCATCAACAGAAAGTAGCGCACGCTAACTCTGATTAGTTGACATGAGCTTACAGGCGTATTCAGAGGTTTTCTTGAGTCAGTTTTCCGTTCTTTCGTCGTCAACCGATAAGTAGCATTAGCATCCAAACTATACGGAAAAGTTTTATTGCAAATTACAATGAGTACTCACATCCATTAAATATCGGGTTTGTCCCCCCACCGTAACGGAAATTTACTTCATGGACCATGCGCTTTTGAGAGAAAAATATCCCGTTGTCACCCTGGTCCCACCATGCCATGTGCCATCACAATCTCAATTCTGGAGCCATACCAGTGTCAAACCTGGAATCTCGGCAGCATGTGCGCCTGATTTCACATGTCTATCCAATACAATTACCGGACGTCATTACCAGTGGCAAATGTCCCTTTGTTGCAGGACTTCACGTGACGATGCGTAAGTATTCAAGGGCATGAGACGCTATTCGAATGGAGACCCAAAATTAAAGTGCTGGTTATTATTGATATTAAAGCCAAGAAACACTAACAAGCAAAGATAACTGACAAGTCTTCGCCAACAGTCACTGATCAGTGGAGCCAAGATACTCGTTGCGTCCCGTCAGCATGGCACCATGCTGCTTGGCATCCAGGCTCGCTTCTCTGAACAGGGCGTATTTTTGATTATGCCACTCCACACTGTTCATCTGCTTTCCATCATGGGTAGTAAACTTGGCATCGAATTCTGGCCGCAAGAAATAAATCACGGAGAACTTGTCCTGACCTGTTGAGTCGGGTGGAGGTACCACGCGGTGAAGAGATGAGGCCAATACACCATTGGAAAGAAAACGCAACGAGTCTCCGACATTCACAACGGCGTGGCCAGCTCGCGGTGGAATAAAAGACCACTCCCCATCTCCGGGCAGCATAGCCTGCAAGCCATCCGACTGGGAGAAAACAACCGTTAAAGTTCCCATATCAGTATGTGCCATGTTCCCGATCTGGTCATGACTGCTTCCCCAAGCTAGGTACTGCAACATAGCCATGTTTGCAGACGATGGCTTATCCTTCCGGTGACAGTCCTTCAAGTCATACGGAAGCTCCAGCGCTTTAGACAGATTTGACAGGATGCAATCAGTATACTGATGAACCTCGCTCATGAATGTCTCGAATAGGGACAAGTTTTCATCAATGGCTGGAGGAGCATTGATGGTATCCTCCCCAAAGATTCCATTATTGTGGATCTACAGGTATCGAATCAGTTCGATTCGGACACGTTTGGAAAATGATGAAGCGATCACCTCATTGTCATCCTGCCGTCAATGCGGGAAGAGTGGGAACATACCGAGAAGCTCTCATAGCCGTCTTTCTTCCCGGCAAATGGTCCAACGGAGCACCCGACTCTTTTGTAGCTAAAGCGTAAAACTTTAGCTTCATAGTTCTGGCAGATGTGTCATCCGAGTCAGGCAGAGCAAAACAAAACATACCCGAAAAGTCTTGATGGTAGATATTTCTCGGTGCTATATTGTTCTTTCTCTTCTAGTGGCAGCTTGAAAACTGACTTGCCAATAGCAGCGAGGTCGTCGACAAGCTTCAAGATGTCACATGTGGACTCGTGACGGAAATCAAGGTAAAAGAATCCATTTTCTTTGCAAGCGGAAACAAGGTCGTTCACAACATCGTCGTTCCCGGCAAGAAGTCCCGCCAGCGAGATCGATTTCAGATCTGCCTGTTTGGACGATTCGACGGATCCCATGTTTAAGAAGTGGGTTATCAAAGTATAGTTTGGCGTTTAGTTTGTATCCTTGAAGAAAATATGTCCGTTCAAATGCCTTGAATTATTTAGTCCTCGTGCTTCTCTTAATAACGGGCCAGGTATGGGAGGCGACACTAGGCCACATATACCCTTTCGACGTCCTCCAAGAGCCAAGCAGACATCGTCCTCAGTGACGACAACCAGCAAACTTGCAGCCCCCTCCCGCCGTACGTTACTTTCCGTGTACTATTCGCTTATTCCGGCTTACATGTGCCTGCGGGAAGGACTGTGATATCTGTTTATCCTGGCCATTGAGAAAGCTGACATGGGGTTGGTCATAAGAGTGCGGATAGGCGTGAGGGGTACTGCAAAGCCGTCTGCTACTAGAAAGCGACAGAAATTCTCCCGGCTGGGGTAAGACATGGCCCCCTTGAAGTGTGTTCAACTAGATACCCATTGCTATTTTGGAAAAATGATGCCTTGGTCGTCAGTGACTGTCACTGACGGAGGTACAAGGCGAGCTACACCATCATTTGCTTCGATTGACCCGGCTTTCTCAATCAGTTCCTCCTATGGTAGAAATGAATGGGTCTTGAAATAAAAGTCGTTGACTGATCCTAGCTGTCAGTACTGCTCAGAAATACTTGTGCTTAGTACCCAAGCCGCAACAGATGAAAAGGAAAGGAGCGGAAGGCCGGTGAATCGGGACATGCAGTAAGGCTAGTCACAGCGAGCACACTCGGCAAAGTAATATAGAAGTACCCCACGAAAGAATCTAAATGGTATGAAAGACTAATTCAGATCTAGGACTTTTCTTATTTCCCTACAACCTCTTTGCAAAACGGGGGCCCAGGGATGGCAGAGTAGGTATGCCTGTACGTGATATCATGTACAGCCCAATCGACACATAAATGAGGGCGTGTGCGCATCCTTTTTACTCAGTTGCCAACGTGTAACCAGATTCGTTAAGCATCGACTCAACTGTTCTAAACAGTCTCGCCAACCGTCACAATCCTCAACGACGCACACAATGCACGAGAAAGCGAAAATGCTCGACACAAATCACTACAACGCCTTGAGCTTGGCTCAGCCCACGAATTTCAAGTCCATGTTACACTCGGGCAAGCTACTCTGGGGCACGGGATGCAGAATCCCCCACGAGGAAGCCGCACGGATAGTTGCTTCGACGCCGTATCATTTCTGTTTCATAGACGCGGTACGCTCACCACGGCCATGCGCGCCATCCTAGTTGCCATCTGACGAATGTGTACACGCACAGGAACACACGCCCCTGAACGCAACGCTGCTGGTCAGCCTTGTTCGCACGATTCAGTACCACTCCAACGGCTCCATGGTTCCATTTGTCCGGATCCCAGGCTGCTCGCCCGAGCTGGTCAATTATGCGCTGAATGCCGGCGCGGGGGGCGTCATGATGCCTCACATCCAGAACGCCAAACAGGCAGAGGACCTGGTCCGGTTGGCTCGGTTTCCGCCCATGGGAGACCGGAGCTTCCCTCCCGCGGCGCTGATCAACAAGAAGCAGCAGAGGACGCCGGAGTCCCAGACGGTCTACGACGTGTGGAACAGCCATGCCGCTGTCATCTGTCAGATCGAAGATCTGCAGGGCCTGGACAATATTGAAGAGATCTGCAGAGTTCCAGGAGGTGCGTTTCAGTCGTACATGCCATTGTTCGTGTCTGCCGTGTATGTATGTGCTGATACTGCTCGCCTGTAGTTGACGGCCTTTTCATTGGGACCGGCGATTTGCGCATGTGTATGGGATTGGCTGTGGGCAGTCTCGATGGTGATGAACCCGTGTTTGTCTCTGCGCTCCGGAGGATCCGGGACGCCGCAAAGGCCAATGATCTTCCCATCATGGGTTTTGGCATCTCCCCTTGTACCCTTGAGCGTAGGATTGACATGGGCTGGAATGCATTCATCATACATGGCGACATTGATGCCATATGCACCTCGGCCATCCGGTCATTGGATACTTACAGCGATGCTGCCGATCGTCATCTGTCCAAGACGAGTGACAAGCATGGCAATGGCTCTGCCAATGGCTTAGATGACGATTTAGGGAGCAGAAAAAAGGGGAAGGGGGCCGTTGGTTCTCTGAACGGTTCCCAGTCCGTGGGACCTCAATAGGACGGATAGACGTCAACGGCACGTACTGGGTGTCTATTCTAAAATAGTCATTGTTGAATATTCTCGCCCATCTGACAACTGTGCTAGTTTGACGGAGCAATAGCGGAGTGTATGATTCGATCAGGTTGGGCACAGTATCCCATACGGATAAGTGACGGGGCCTTTCTAATCTTCCGGATAACTATTAACCCCTATCATACCCGATCCCGGCTGCAACACAGCAAAGGGTGCATCGCCACGGTACACAGGGTGGTCCGCGAGATAAGTCGGGGGATACAAGCTAAAAACCCAAGGCAGCGATAACCTAGATGCCTCAGTCATGTAGGTCAGGTTACACACATACGGGACGTCATGTATATATACGGGTAACAGGTCAGGACCGTAAAAACCCCAAAAACAAGTAGTCGCCGAATTTGAAGCTATTCACAAGCCCTCACTGAGCCCTTGTCACACAGTCTCACCCCAAGCACCCGTATCAAACGACTACAATCGCTAGCAGATTGGCCTCGGCAATACACCATGCGCCCCAGCAAGAGTTCAGATTGGCCGTTGAGAGCAAAAGTCCTCCTGCAAGGCCATGTCCTAGCCGTCAACTACAAAGGTCATCACGTGTCCTGCCCGGACCAGATATCAGAAAAGGCTCTTCCAAAGCTAACATATTACACGGTTGGGGGCTTGGGACGCAGCAACGGCCCAACGTCGTTACACGAAGCTATAACCTGGAAGCCTCCGGCATCGCTGTTCCTTTCATGTATATAATCTAAGCCTTGGCCCCTCACATTCCTAAGAAACCAAGGACCTTTAAGACCCTTCGAGGTTATCTTTAAATTGAGCCAATACCACTCCGAGCCCTTGTCACAGACCGCTCCCCCCATACTCCTAAACTTGCAAGCTCGTGTTGTGATCCCAGTATAGTCTACGAAAACATGCTTCTTCCACAGACCGCGCTCCCCGACGACCCCATCTTCTCTAGACTCGTCCAACTCGCCACCCGCAGAGATGGTCAAGTTATTGTCGACGACCGCAGCCGCGGCACACAATTTGGCTACGGCCACATTCTCCACGGCACCGTGGACCTCGTGCAGAAGCTTCAGAGTCTTCTCAACAGGGACATTCTAGATAACCGCGGCGGGTTTTTCATTGCCGTCTTGGCCCCCAACAGCTACGAATTCATCATTGCGGTCCTCGCTGTCCTGGCTCTCGGCGGTGTTGCCGTCCCCATGCGTGAGTCCGTCCCCCCCGTCGCGGCAAAACGTCTCGCTGGAACGAATTGACAATCCTTGCTGCAAATAACAGCCACGGGCGCACTTGCATCCGAAGCAGCACATATCCTGCGGCAGTGTGGTGCGTGCTGTATTCTCGTTGGGCCCGAACAAGTCGACCTATTGGCCCGGATCGAAGACGAGGTCGAAATACCCTCTCTCTTGGTCGGGAGCCACGTGGGCGACTCTGAATCTAAGAACCCGGTGCCGGTTACGTCCCTTGCGCTGGATCCGGCGGCCGCCGTGTCGGAAGAGTGTCCTAGCATATTGTTCTTTACTTCGGGGACGAGCGGCCCTCCAAAGGGTGTTTTGCACGCCCGTCGGACGGTCAGCAAGTATGCTCGGCTGGAGGAAGTCGGGCCAAATGAGGAGATTTGCATCATACCGAGGGGCGCGTTCTGGTCGCTGTATTTCACGAAACTGTTCCAAATGCTGCTTATAGGGGTTCGCGTCGAGATTCACAATTTCGGACGCAACTACGACCTTATATGGGAGAAGCTCCGTGATGGAACCGCCACGCGGATTGCCTTGTCCCCTACTTTCTGGTACGGCATGATGGACTTTTTCCAGAGACACATCTCCAAGTTGCCCGAGCCTACGATTGACGAGTACGTTCGGGGGGTTCGGCAGCTTCGCGATGCGTCCGCATCGGGAGCCGTGTTGTCGAATCGCATCAAGGAGTTTTGGAAAGACATGCGTGGCGGACGGCCGCTCAAGGTGCAGTACGGGTCGACGGAAACACAAGAGATTTCCATCTGCGACGAGGGGGCCGGCATGGTAGAGGTGAGGCATCTCGCCGAATAGGCTTGCGCTTTTTCTGACACGAGTGTGAGCCAGGGTGATTTGGGGGTGCCGTTTCCAAACGTGACTATCAAGTTGTCAGGGGGTGACGAGGGGGAGCTGCTTGTAAAGACTCCGTCTATGTTTCTTGGGTATACATCTCCCTCACTTTTCGTCTGACGGCATGCGCTAAACACTGCCCGTGGTCTCAGGTACTTGAACTCGCCGGACGCTACGGCGCAATGTATGGACTCGGACGGGTTTTTCAAAACTGGCGATCTGGCCATCCGCGAGAACGGCCGGTACATCTTCAAAGGAAGGGCAAACATGGATTGTCAGCATTGAACCCTTACTCATGCCCGTCTTGCGCGAGACGCAAAATCTAACGTTGTGCCATTGACGCAGTGTTCAAGTTTTATACGTACAAGGTCCCGCGGATGGAGGTCGAGTCCTTCCTGCTTGCGCTTCCTTATATCGCAGAGGGATACATCATGCCGGTGGCAGATCCGCAGTGCGATACCCGGGTGGCTGCCCTTGTTCGTCTCCGGGACTGTTTCCATACAGTTGACCTGAGTACTATCAGGGGCGACCTTTCCAGAGACTTGCCTGCCTATCAGCTACCAACTGTGCTTCGGGTTTTGAGAGACGGCGAAACGGTCCCTCGGACGTGGTCAGACAAAACCGCATTGAAGCAGGCAGTGCGGATGTTCTTCCCCCAAGACGACGAGGAACGGCTTTGTGGAGAGGCGATAGAAGTCATGGATGTGAGTGGCTTCATGAAGATGGAAACCAAGAAGCCATGGGACCTTT